TCCCTCAACATAATATAGAAAGAAAAGTTGCTAATATATTCTCGAAGATGATCTATCAAAAATTACCTTGAAATTATCTAAGTTTTTTTATATTACCACAGGTTGATGGAACTGGAGGAACAGGAGGTGTTGATGGTGTGGTGGATGGTAGAGGAGTGACTAGTGGCGCCACTGTTCTTGACCACCATGACTAAATGGCGCCATTGACCTGGAGGGGGAGGTAATGACGTCAGTGGTAGTTTGTGGGGAGGGGGAAGGTAGTTAGGGTGAGGGTCGGGGGGGTTGGTTGCTGGTGGAGGGGTTGGGGGGGTGAGTAGTTAGTTGTTACTGGTGGGAGGGGGTAGGGGGGATGGTTATTACTTGGTAATTACTAAGGTACTAACACAGTCTTGTTACTGTGTGTTAACGTGGCTGGAACCTTGATATTTGAGACGCCCTTAACACTAGACCAAAGACTCGTTTAACACATATTCGTAATTCTAATGAACAGTGTCCATGGACTCGTGTTAAAAACCGTCTCCTTGATGTTGGACTAACGTATTTGACATCTCTTTTGGGTTTAGCGCTTAGTTTTGATAGTAGTGGTAAGCCACAGTACTGTCTGCCTTTCCAGATTAATTTGCATGAGTGTCCTCCACTGTGAGGACACTACGACTCCAGGCGGACATCAACCAAATCATTAAATGGGCAGCAGAAAACAATATGAAGTTCAATGATGAGAAATTTCGACTACAGTATTGAAAACTTGAATAAATTACAACTATATGGGGTATAAAATAAATTTAAACCACACAATAGAACGAAAAACTAATGTAAAAGACCTGGGAGTGATAATGTCAGAGGATCTTGCCTTCAATGACTGCTGCAGCAGCAGCATTGTTGTTGTATTGGTATTGTTGTATTGGTATTGTTGTATTGGTATTATTGTTGTATTGGTATTGTTGTATTGGTATTGTTGTGGTATTGGTATTGTTGTGGTATTGGTATTGTTGTATTGGTATTGTTGTGGTATTGGTATTGTTGTGGTATTGATGTTGTATTGGTATTGTTGTGGTATTGGTGTTAAGGGTCACTGCCAGTTTACACCGTATTTGTTCTTATTACTGGGAGTTGTTAAGGGTAACCAAAGTTTACACCTTACTGAACCCTGCCTCCCAGGACTCCCTAATAAGGAAGTGATTAATGTGGCTGCTGGAGAACATGTCACCGAGGTTCCTCTACCTGAACACCACAATTTTCGAACCTTACAGGACCCCACAGACTTAAATTATTGACTCTGAGACGACAGACACTCCATCCCACGTTCAGTTACCTTCACCCCTCAAGGAAGGTTCCTTGATGTTGGCGAGGGGCTCCTGATTTAGGGAATTGGATCTGTGCTCCAGTTCCCCGAATTAAGCCTGAATGCCTTCCACATCCCCCCCCAGGCGCTGTATAATCCTCTGGGTTTAGCGCTTCCCCCTTGATTATAATAATCAGTTACCTTCAGGACCACAATGGAAATAAGCCAATTTGACTTCTTCTTGGAGGGGGGGGGGGTACCCTGGATGACTTTTTTGGAGGGGGGTTGTTATCCTGGATGACTTTTTTTGGAGGGGGGGGGGTTAATCCTGGATGGACTTTTTTGAAGGGGGGGTTATCCTGGATGACCTTTTTGAAGGGGGTATCCTGGATGACTTTTTTGAAGGGGGGATCATCCCTGGTGACTTTTTTGAAGGGGGGGTTATCCTGGATGACTTTTTTGAAGGGGGTATCCTGGATGACTTTTTTGAAGGGGGGTATCCTGGATGACTTTTTTGGAGGGGGGGGGGTTATCCTGGAAGGTAATTTACACTATGTATGATAATTGTACTTATGTGTACAAATAAAGTAGAATTCCGTCATCCCACTTAGGTGGCATATATAACACAAGGGCAGTTAATGGGGGTATCCTTTATTACTACGTTTCGGCCACACAGTGGGCTTTTTCAAGTCACAAACAGAACTACCTGCCATTGTGTCGGTATTTTATACCATTTATTTCCATGCCACTTAGGTACCCAGGAGAGTACCGGTCCTAGTACCGAGGGCAGTAATTAGGTGAGTTACCAAGGGTACGTAAATGTGTGATGGGAGTGTAGCACCTGAGGTCAGTAGGTGTCATGTTGCAGGTACCTGCGTCCTGCTGCTCCTGATAACCTGGTACCTACTATATTATACTATTGCCTCTTAATTTTATCTACTATATTATACTATTGCCTCTTAATTTTATCTTTCCTTGTTACCTAAGTGATTGAGGGACAAAGTTGTTGCTGGAGGGATCTTGATCCAGGGAATTGGAGCTAATCTTCCCTTAACATCAGATCACCCCCCTTGATGCCAGTAAGGGGCTCTTGATCCAAGGAACTGCACTAATTATCTCCACCTGACCAGGTATTCCCTAAATCAACCCTGAATATCCCATCCCCCAGGTTCTATACCACCCCTGAGAGTTTACCTCTTTTTTTGTTTACAAGATGCTGCTTTGAACATTAAAATGGTATAAAATACCGAGGTGTTAGGTAACACAGCACTCATTAGTGAATAGCATCTAGACTTTTCGAAACGTTTGCCTACACAGTAGGCTTCTTCAGTCGAGTACAGAGAAGTTGATAGAAGCACAGGATACTTGAAGACTATGTAATCAGTCCATCACCCTTGAAGTTTTGAGGTGGTCAGTCCCTCAAGGAAGGTTCCTTGATGTTGGTGAGGGGCTCTTGATTTAGGGAATTGGATCTGTGCTCCAGTCCCGAATACTGAATCCCATGCCTTCCCACAATCCCCCCCCAGCCGCTGTATAATCCTCCGGGTTTAGCGTTCCCTTGATTATAATAATTGAGGTGGTCAGTCCCTCAGTCTGGAACAATACTCTTCTCCAGACTGAGGGACTGACCACCTCAAACTTTCTTTACATGCTTTGTTTATATTCTGCCTCTTTATTTGTAGTTTAAGGTCAACTTACTAGTAAAATCAAACATTTATAGTTTATCAATCTTTGGGTAATAAAAATTATATACCACTAAACATGGATATATTTGTTGCAAAGCTAGTGGAGAGTACAGTGTGAGCCCTACGGATTTAAAGCTCCCCTGTTTGTAATAACACTGGGGAGTACAAATACTGGAGAGTACAGCAGTCACACACACATCAAAAAGTCATATATAAACACATGGCTAGATATGTGGGATGAGGCTACATCAAACTACATAGTTGTCAATGTGTATTCTGTACTATGTAGTTATATTAAACTTTATGGGATATATAGAAATGCTGTCTGTTAGTGTGCCTAAGTAATATTCGATTAAGTTTTTAGCTTGCAAAAATTTTGGCCTTTTCAACACTATGTATTTTGCCTTTTTCCCCGGTTCATAAATCATAAATTTTTGTATCAGTGGAAGATTAAGTTTTGGATTTTCTTGTCTGTCTCTGACAACAGATATTTTATCCCATTTTCCTACAGATTTCACTTTTTTATATATATATTTATCATTATATCTGTATTGTATATATATATTTATTGGTTTGATTATTATGGTTATGTAATTTATTAACCATATTTTCTATTAAAATATTTTTGTGTTTTTTTTGGTGTATTATAATAAATTTTTATTTTTATCTTAGTTATTGATAATTTGGTTTGTTGTATTTTTTCTTTTCTATCCTTGAAAGACTTTTTGTGAGGTCTTACTTGGTGTTTATTAACCATTACTTGATTTGTTTGTGGAGTTATTGATGATGCCTTGGTGAGGACCTTTCTCTTGCTTTGGAGACCTTACTGATTTGTTTGGTGGAGACCTTACTTGATGTTGTCTTGGTGGAGACCTTACTTGATGTTGTCTTGGTGGAGACCTTACTTGCTCTTGCCTTGGTGAAGACCTTCCTCTTGCCTTGGTGGAGACCTTACTTGATGTTGTCTTGGTGGAGACCTTACTTGTCTTGTTGTGAGCCCTTTTTGGTGGAGACCTTACTTGATCTTGTCTTTGGGGGAGACCTTACTTGATCTTGCCTTGGTGAGACCTTACCTCTTGCCTTGGTGGAGACCTTACTTGATCTTGTCTTGGTGGAGACCTTACTTGCTGTTGCCTTGGTGAAGACCTTCCTCTTGCCTTGGTGGAGACCTTACTTGATGTTGTCTTGGTGGAGACCTTACGCTTGCATGGGGGTTGTTTCCCTTGCTTGGTGGAGACCTTACTTCCTCTTGTCTTGGTGGGGGACCTTACTTGCTCTTGTCCCTTTGGGGGAAGACCTTCCTCTTGCCTTGGTGGAGACCTTACTTGATGTTGTCTTGGTGGAGACCTTACTTGCTCTTGTCTTGGTGGAGACCTTACTTGCTCTTGCCTTGGTGAAGACCTTCCTCTTGCCTTGGTGGAGACCTTACTTGCTCTTGCCTTGGTGAAGACCTTCCTCTTGCCTTGGTGGAGACCTTACTTGATCTTGTCTTGGTGGAGACCTTACTTGATCTTGTCTTGGTGGAGACCTTACTTCCTCTTGCCTTGGTGGAGACCTTACTTCCTCTTGTCTTGGTGGGGACCTTACTTGATCTTGTCTTGGTGGAGACCTTCCTCTTGCCTTGGTGGAGACCTTACTTCCTCTTGCCTTGGTGGAGACCTTACTTCCTCTTGCCTGTCTCCATCATACGAACAAGTAGACCCAGGTAGTTAGTGAAGCGATGGTGACAGTCTAATGAATCTCGACAACCACTGAGTGGCATGTCCAGACGAGGACCACTGGCACCTGCCAAGATTGGGAAATATTTAAGTTTGTGTAGCCTCACAAATTGCTTCTGTGTTCGGGTTATTTATTGCAGTATGACCCTTGTGGGTTTAGAGCTTAGTTATGATTATAATAATTATGCATATTGGTAAAAACAGAAATGAATTGGTTTCAAGCCTTAGGCAGAGCGAAACATAATTGTAGAAATTCTTCTAACATCATTTAGGTTGGGTAAGATTTGTTAGGTTGGGTAAGGTTTGTTAGGTTGGGTAAGGTTTGTTAGGTTGGGTAAGGTTTGTTAGGTTAGGTAAGGTTTGTTAGGTTAGGTAAGTTTGTTAGGTTGGTAAGGTTTGTTAGGTTGGGTAAGGTTTGTTAGGTTGGGTAAGGTTTGTTAGGTTGGGTAAGGTTTGTTAGGTTGGGTAAGGTTTGTTAGGTTGGGTAAGGTTTGTTAGGTTGGGTAAGGTTTGTTAGGTTAGGTAAGGTTTGTTAGGTTGGTAAGGTTTGTTAGGTTAGGTAAGGTTTGTTAGGTTGGGTAAGTTTGTTAGGTTAGGTAAGGTTTGTTAGGTTGGGTAAGGGTTTGTTAGGTTAGGTAAGGTTTGTTAGGTTAGGTAAGGTTTGTTAGGTTGGGTAAGGTTTGTTAGGTTGGGTAAGGTTTGTTAGGTTGGGTAAGGTTTGTTAGGTTAGGTAAGGTTTGTTAGGTTGGGTAAAGTTTGTTTTGGTTAGGTAAGGTTTGTTAGGTTGGTAAGGTTTGTTAGGTTGGGTAAGGTTTGTTAGGTTGGGTAAGGTTTGTTAGGTTGGGTAAGGTTTGTTAGGTTAGGTAAGGTTTGTTAGGTTAGGTAAGGTTTGTTAGGTTGGGTAAGGTTTGTTAGGTTGGGTAAGGTTTGTTAGGTTGGGTAAGGTTTGTTAGTTAGGTAAGGTTTGTTAGTTAGGTAAGGTTTGTTAGGTTGGGTAAGGTTTGTTAGGTTGGGTAAGGTTTGTTATGTTGGGTAAGGTTTGTTATGTTGGGTAAGGTTTGTTAGGTTGGGTAAGGTTTGTTAGGTTGGGTAATGTTTGTCAGGAAACAGGACAAGTGTTTCCTAACTTGGGTCTTAGTCATATGATGACCCACAGCTGGAGCTTTTGGTCATCTGACCGAAACCTTCCACTGGCTTACCCCTCCACCACTTTAAAAATTATGGCTATATTTCTTACCATTAACAGTATTGATGTGTGGAAGGTTCTGACGTAGTAGACTGACCAGTTCAGAGTTCAGATCATGAAGGTATTCTGTCCCTGGCTCCTGCATCACCTGCCTCGGATCAGACCCTCCTGATGGGTGAATTAATTACTTAGTATATCAGAAGCAGGAGGGGGAGCATTGATGTTGAAGGGATCTTAATCCACGGCATTGAAGTTATCCCCCCTTTCCTGGAGTTTACCTGGAGAGAGTTCCGGGGGTCAGCGCCCCCGCGGCCCGGTCTGTGACCAGGCCTCCTGGTGGATCAGAGCCTGATCAACCAGGCTGTTGCTGCTGGCTGCACGCATACCAACGTACGGGCCACAGCCCGGCTGGTTAGGAACCGACTTTAGGTGCTTGTCCAGTGCCAGCTGTCATCAAACTTAATTACCTCTCATATTCCCCCCCCCCCCCCCCAAAAAAAAAAAATCTAAGTTTGTTATTATATCAAGTTTATTTAGTAACTTCTAAGTGAGTTTTATGTAATAAAAATGTCTGAGGTTATATATGAGGGCTCGAAAGAGTGTGTGTTCACTTGGGAACTTATATAATTACTAGTTCAACTAAGAAAATTTAAGATTTTTATTAGTGTGATGTTTTAGTGACTGGTATACCCTGAGGGTGTTCCGGGGGTCATCGCCCCCCGGGGCCTGGTTCATGACCAGGCCTCCTGGTGGATCAGGACCTGATTAACCAGGTTGTTACTGCTGGCCGCACATAAACCAACGTAGGAACCACAGCCCGGTTGGTCAAGTACTGTGTGTCTGTCCAGCTCCCTCTTGAAGACAACCAGAGGTCTTGAAGACAACCAGGGATCTTGAAGACAACCAGAGGTCTTGAAGACAGCCAGGGGTCTTGAAGACAGCCAGGGGTCTTGAAGACAGCCAGGAGTCTTGAAGACAGCCAGGGGTCTTGAAGACAGCCAGGGGTCTTGAAGACAACCAGGGATCTTGAAGACAACCAGGGGTCTTGAAGACAGCCAGGGGTCTTGAAGACAACCAGGGATCTTGAAGACAACCAGGGGTCTTGAAGACAACCAGGGATCTTGAAGACAACCAGGGGTCTTGAAGACAACCAGGGATCTTGAAGACAACCAGGGATCTTGAAGACAACCAGGGGTCTTGAAGACAACCAGGGGTCTTGAAGACAGCCAGGGTCTTGAAGACAGCCAGGGTCTTGAAGACAGCCAGGGGTCTTGAAGACAGCCAGGGGTCTTGAAGACAGCCAGGGGTCTTGAAGACAGCCAGGGGTCTTGAAGACAACCAGGGGTCTTGAAGACAACCAGGGATCTTGAAGACAGCCAGGGGTCTTGAAGACAACCAGGGGTCTTGAAGACAACCAGGGGTCTTGAAGACAGCCAGGGATCTTGAAGACAGCCAGGGGTCTATTGGTAATCCCCCTTATGTGTGTGGGTATATGATAAACTCTACATCCAAGTAGTTGAAGCTGCCCTTCTTCTGCATCAGAACTAATTACCTCGCATTCCCCAGCTGTGTATGACCCCTACAGGTTAAGCGCCTTCCTCTGGCTACAATAAGAGTTTTAACATCTTACTGTGAATAATAGTAGCATCAGCAAGGCTGGCCACCACCAGGGCCACTACCAGGGCCACCATCACCAGTGGTACTCTGCTCACCATTCTCTGCAAGAAAAATAAAAGGTTAGGTAAAGTTAGGCTAGGCTAGGTCAGGTTAGGTTAGGCTAGGCTAGGCTAGGTCAAGTAAGGTTAGGTCAGGTTAGGGTAGGTCAGGTCAGGTTAGGTTAGGCTAGGTCAGGTTAGGTTAGGCTAGGTCAGGTTAGGTTAGGCTAGGTCAGGAAAGGTTAGGTAAGGTTAGATTAGGTAAGGCTTGTCAGGAAACAGGATGAGTGTTTCCTGATGACCCACAACTGGAGATTTTGGTCATCTGACCAATGTCTTACACCTTTAAAAATTATGATATCAGGCAAAAAAGTGGAGGTCTAAGTCATACTGGTATAGAGGCTTTCTTTTATGTATTTATTTTTTATTTTATTATCACACTGGCCAATTACCACCAAGGCAGGGTGGCCCGAAAAAGAAAAACTTTCACCATCATTCACTCCATCACTGTCTTGCCAGAAGGGTGCTTTACACTACAGTTTTTAAACTGCAACATTAACACCCCTCCTTCAGAGTGCAGGCACTGTACTTCCCATCTCCAGGATTCGAGTCCGGCCTGCCGGTTTCCCTGAACCCCTTCATAAATGTTACTTTGCTCACACTCCAACAGCACGTCAAGTATTAAAAACTATTTGTCTCCATTCACTCCTATCAAACACGCTCACGCATGCCTAATGGAAGTCCAAGCCCCTCGCACACAAAACCTCCTTTACCCCCTCCCTCCAACCTTTCCTAGGCCGACCCCTACCCTGCCTTCCTCCCACTACAGACTGATACTCTCTTGAAGTCATTCTGTTTCGCTCCATTCTCTCTACATGTCCGAACCACCTCAACAACCCTTCCTCAGCCCTGAAAGATATATCCAAGAGCTCCAGAACAGAGGTTATGAACTAAGTGGTTTTGATGGGTATACGTTTATAATAATTATTTCCACTAATACATGTACAAGGTATACAAACCATAGCAGACATCAATGATATACTACTATATAGAAAGCCCCCCTTGTTATACAGAGCATTTCCTGCAAATTAGTCAGTTTTGTCCCCAGGATGCCACCCACACCAGTCTATTAACACCCAGGTACCTACTTTCTGCTAGGTGAACATAAGTTGTGGGAAATGCTCTACATAACCAGTTACTTTATGTAGTATGTCACTGATGTCAGTTATGGTCTGTATAAGTTATATCATCTACTGGTAGAAATAAACATTATGTTTACTGATTTCCACCTTCTGGTTAATTAGACATATATTTACATATTCCCACACTATTTGCAGATGACACTACATACGTCTTCTCTCACCCGAGCCCAGTGACGCTAGCCAATACTACTGTAAATACTGAATTACAGAAAATATCTACCTGGATGAGGACTAACAAACTCGCTCTAAACATTGACAAAACCTACTTCATTCAGTTTGGTAACAGAGCTGCAGATGTCCATCTTAACATAATGATAAATGGATCACCTATCACAAAACTCTCAGAGGGAAAATTCATAGGAATCCACCTTGATAATAGACTCAAATTTCAAACGCACATACAACAAATTTCCCCCCAAAATTTCCAAGACTGTAGGCATACTATCGAAGATACGGTACTATGTTCCACAGTCAGCCCTCCTTGCCCTATATCACTCACTTATTTACCCCTATCTCACCTATGGAATTTGTGCATGGGGCTCAACAACAATAAACCATCTCAGACCATTAATCACCCAACAAAAGGCTGCAGTCAGAATGATAACAAATTCCCACTACAGACAGCACACTCCACCAATATTCAAAACTCTAAACCTACTCACAATACAAAACATCCATACTTATTACTGCACCTATTACATACATAGAACACTTAACTCTGATATGAACCCTCCCCTCAAACAACTCCTTGCCAACCTCAACAGAACACATGACCATAACACAAGACACAGATCACTCTTTGATGTTCCTCGTGTCCATCTCACGCTATGCAAAAACTCAATGCACATAAAAGGCCCTAAAATCTGGAATTCATTACCTGTGAATATAAAAGAAACACTATCTGTTTATAAATTCAAGTCTCTTCTCAAAAATCACTTACTCACCCACAGCTAAATAAATACTGAATAATTGTATCTCGTAAATGTTTCTCATTATTGTATCTCATAAATGTTTAACCTGTGACCCAATCAAACTTTGTTACTTTTTAATTACATTACCCAACAGAATACTCCATTGTACTGAATGCTCAGCAACACAGTAAATGACCATATGACCTGTCTTTGTAATACTCATTTGTGCTAAATTGTTATCTGTTTACAATAATGTTTTTACCACTGAATATATCATTGCTTAGTTAATCTTAAGTTAATTTTAAGCCTGCCCATAATGCTCTGCATACAAGGGGCTTTAGCATGTTGCACTGTAATAACTGTATTCCTTTGTACTTCTCTGTATCATGTTCAAATAAATAAATAAATAAAGGAGGTAGATGTGTCTTTAATATGATTCTAATCACAAATACAGTGGAACCTCAAAAATCGAACTTAATCCGTTCCAGGAGCTAGTTCTAAATTCGAAAAGTCTGAAATTCGAAGCAATATTTCCCACAAGAAATAATGGAAATACAATTAATCCGTTCCAGAAACCCAAAAATATTCACACAAAAAATACATTTTATAGAGATTAATTACAGTTTTACATACAACAAACACTATAGTTTTTAATTATGTATAGTAATACATATAAAATAACATTTTTACTTACCTTTATTGAAGATTGGTGATGGCATCTGGAAGATAGGGAGGAGGAGAGAGGGAGTTGGGGTTAGTGTTTGGAAGGAGAATCCCCCTCCATGAGGACCTCAGGTAAAGCCCTTACCATGTCTTACAACATTGTGTATGCCACTATGCTTCTTAAATCTGTCAAACCAGCCTCTGCTGGCCTTAAATTCACTATCAGAACTGGTTCCAGGAGTTTGCTGTACCAGATCGGCATGCAACTTCCTTGCCTATTCGCAAATAATCGTCTCTGAAACACTATCACCTGCAATCTCTTTATCCTTGATCCACACCAGCAACAACTTCTCAACCTCTTCAACTATTTGTGGTCTTTTTTTGGTTAGCATATTAACACCTTTCACAACATCAGCTTCCTTGATTTGTTCTTTCTTTGACAGGATAGAACCAATGGTCGACTTGTTTTTCCCATACATCCTGGCAAGCTCAACAAGTCTCACACCACTCTCATACTTCTGTATTATTTCCTTCTTCACATCTATGGTGTTTTTCACTTTCTTTACCACAGGGGTACCACTAGCAAGTTTCTTTGGGCCCATGGCAGCTTATTTCACAGTCCCCCAATCACTAAACAACGAAATAATCGTTAAATGCATGAATGAGAGCGCAGGTTAGTGTTCACTCAAGCATAAACAAAGCTAGACTGCTCACGGCACCTGTGCGGGGACGCGGACAGAGCAGGCTGGCAGACAGGTCCTGTACCCAGCGGTCCGAAAATAGGGGCGCGTTTGATAAGAGGGACACAGTTTGTCCGAAAAAATGGTGCTATTTTCGAAACGTTCGATATGTGATACATTCAATTTTTGAGGTTCCACTGTATAACATCGGGATTATTAGGTGGATAAAAGGCAGTGTTTTTTCCCATTGAAATTCGTGGTTTTAAAAAGGTCGTCTGCTAAAAAAAAATATTTATACAGAGTTTAGAGTTTGAGGATGGTAAAGTAATTAGGAAGGTGTTTCAAAAGGTAGATGAAGGGGATTTATGTGATGTTGATTTTTGTAGAGATGTGGAGATATATTTGAGAGGGAGAGAGATAGGGAGATGCTTGAGAGAGAGAGAGAGAGAGTATGGAGATGCTTGAGAGAGAGATATGGAGATGCCTGAGAGGGAGAGAGATATGGAGAGGCTTGAGAGAGAGATATGGAGATGAACATTAAAATGGTATAAAATACCGACAGATTGTTAGGTAAGACACATATGCAACAGTTAGGTATCTTTATTTCGAAACGTTTCGCCTACACAGTAGGCTTCTTCAATCGAGTACAGAAAAGTTGATAGAAGCAGAAGATACTTGAAGACGATGTAATCAGTCCATCACCCTTAAAGTTTTGAGGTGGTCAGTCCCTCAGTCTGGAGAAGAGCATTGTTCCGTTGTCTGAAACAATATTGTTTCAGACAACGGAACAATGCTCTTCTCCAGACTGAGGGACTGACCACCTCAAAACTTTAAGGGTGATGGACTGATTACATCGTCTTCAAGTATCTTCTGCTTCTATCAACTTTTCTGTACTCGACTGAAGAAGCCTACTGTGTAGGCGAAACGTTTCGAAATAAAGATACCTAACTGTTGCATATGTGTCTTACCTAACAGATATGGAGATGCTTGAGAGAGAGATATATATGGAGATGCTTGAGAGGGAGAGAGATATGGAGATGCTTGAGAGAGAGATATGGAGATGCTTGAGAGAGAGAGATATATGGAGATGCTTGAGAGGGAGAGAGATATGGAGATGCTTGAGAGAGAGAGAGATATGGAGATGCTTGAGAGAGAGAGATATATGGAGATGCTTGAGAGGGAGAGAGATATGGAGATGCTTGAGAGAGAGAGAGATATGGAGATGCTTGAGAGAGAGAGATATATGGAGATGCTTGAGAGGGAGAGAGATATGGAGATGCTTGAGAGAGAGAGAGAGATGGAGATGCTTGAGAGAGAGAGATATATGGAGATGCTTGAGAGGGAGAGAGATATGGAGATGCCTGAGAGGAGAGAGATAGAAGCTGAGAAGATAGGGAGATGCTTGAGAGAGAGATATGGAGATGCTTGAGAGGGAGAGAGATATGGAGATGCTTGAGAGGGAGAGAGATATGGATATGCTTGAGAGAGATAGGGAGATGCTTGAGAGAGAGAGATGGAGATGCTTGAGAGAGAGAGATATATGGAGATGCCTGAGAGGGAGAGATATGGAGATGCTTGAGAGGGAGAGAGATATGGAGATGCTTGAGAGGGAGAGAGATATGGAGATGCTTGAGAGAGAGATATAACTAGGAGAATGCTTGAGAGGAGAGAGATATGGAGATGCTTGAGAGAGAGATATGGAGATGCTTGAGAGGGAGAGAGATATGGAGATGCTTGAGAGGGAGATATGGAGATGCTTGAGAGGGGGAGAGAAAGATGGAGATAGATATACTTGAGGGAGATGGATGCAGAGGTAGATATAGTTAAATAAAGATGGAAATAGAGAGCTGGAGATGGATATAGAAATGGAGAGATAGAGATATATATGTTTGAGAGAGGGGGGGGTGCACTGTAGTCTGCAGTGTGCACAGTGGTGGTGTAACCTTCATAGTGGTGAGTTGTGTTCTCTTTCTCTCTCTCTTTCTTTCTCTCTCTTTCTCTCTTTATCTTTCTCTCCCTTTCTCTCTCTTTCTCTCTCCCTTTCTCTCTCTCTCTCTTTCTCTCTCTTTCTCTCTCTCTCTCTTTCTCTCTCTCTCTCTCTCTCTCTCTCTCTCTCTCTCTCTCTCTCTCTCTCTCTCTCTCTCTCTCTCTCGTGGTCCTATCCTCTCCATCCTTGGATCAAACCTAATTGCCTTATAATTCCTATGAGTTGTGATCCCCCCTACAGGTTTAGTGCTCCCAGATTTTTAAATGTCTATATTATTGCCACAATAACCCCCCCTAGTAATCTTATTATGAGGGAACCAAGGGAGCTCAGACCCCCCTCCAAAAATTATAAGTTCCAGGTGACACCTCCATGAACCTCTAAGTTACTTGGCTTAAGTAACAAATTATGTAATTATAGCGATGTTAATAATTCTCAGCATTTGGTGTTTCTTCATTATAATTGAGTTTCATCTTTATTTTACAACCCCAGTGGAAATAAGCCACTGACTTTTAAGAAAGAAAGAAAGATTTCGTTCGGATTTTTAACCCCGGAGGGTTAGCCACCCAGGATAACCCAAGAAAGTCAGTGCGTCATCGAGGACTGTCTAACTTATTTCCATTGGGGTCCTTAATCTTGTCCCCCAGGATGCGACCCACACCAGTCCACTAACACCCAGGTACCTATTTGCTGCTAGGTGAACAGGACAACAGGTGTAAGGAAACGTGTCGAAATGTTTCCACCCGCCGGGAATCGAACCCGGGCCCTCCGTGTGTGAAGCGGGAGCTTTAGCCACCAGGCCACTAAGTTTTATGGTTATTCTGGAGGATAATTTACTTTTGGGGTTTTTTGGAGGATAATTAACCATTTTTAGGGTTATCCTGGAGGATAATTGACATTTTTTAGTTATCCTAATATACTAACCTCTCCCCCAATTGTACCATTAACTAAACACCTGATTATTGTGCGTCTTACACCTAATAACACCTGCCTACCTATGTTGAAAATGGTATAAAATACCCACAAATTGATTAAGATATATACCTGGAAGGTATACCCTTCAGGTATACCAGTTTGCAACAGCTGGGTATCATTATTGTTCAAAAAGTTCGCCTACACAGCAGGTGTCTTCGGTCAGATACAGAGGCAGTAGAGCCTGAAATACTGTGGATAAAATTGAGATTTCCGCATGCATGTCTAAATGTCCTTCACCTCTGTACAGACATTGTATCATGCTGATAAAAAAATACTGTACAGTGGACCCCTGGTTTACGATATTATTTCATTCCAGAAGTATGTTCAGGTGCCAGTACTGACCGAATTTGTTCCCATAAGGAATATTGTGAAGTAGATTAGTCCATTTCAGACCCCCAAACATACACGTACAAACGCACTTACATAAATACACTTACATAATTGGTCGCATTGGGAGCTGATCGTAAACCGGGGGTCCAATGTATTATATTTTTTTCAATGAACCATCTATGTCCCACCAAGGCAGGGTGACCTAAAGAGAAAACTTAAGTTACCCGGTTAAGGGACGGGGGGCTTGTGATACAAGGAACTGGACTTGTCCTCCTTTTTGTTAGCTCGAAGCTTAATGCCTCCCATTTCTCGGGTGCTATGTGACCTCTTATGGGTTAGCCTCCAGCTTCAAATAAAAATTATCAGGGACTGTATAAGCTATATACTTCCTGGGAATGACCATTGCAATATAAAATGCGACGAAACAAAGTTCAGTGACCATAACTTACCACACAAGTATGGAGTTGGAGGTGATGACTGGTGGAAAATGGGAGATGCAAGCACTGGAGGAGACTTGTCTGTTACCAATCCCAGAGGATAACTGGTGTCCTGAGGGAAGGCTGATGCCATTATATAGAGGCAGCCATCATGGCGGCAACTCCTGCCTAGTGCAACAGGTGGCACCACCATACAGTTGCCTGCCATCTTGCACATCTAAAGATTTTTCTTTTTTTTTCCCCTTCATGTCACTAATACATGTTCAGCATAGAACTTGTTGTATTAAGCCTCATGTTTAAAGTCATATATTAAGTTTGTTGGTTTCATGAGCTGTATAATCCCTCTGGAGCACTTTAGGTTTTGAGGCAAGAATATTGATTGGCTAAAATGTGTTTAACCATGTTGTTTAATCCACTTGTCTCCTCTTAACCGCACCCTTCCCTCCGTTGTAGCGCATACATTAGTTTCTCGGTTGAGTAACCGAGTACAGGTGGGTGAAACTTAGAGGTGACAATTGGTGATGCTGGTGGGACCGTGATTTAAGCATGGGAGGCAGTAGGGGTCAAGGGATAGAAATACGAAATATTTTTTGAAGGAAAGTGTGTGTCAAGTGTCTCAATCCTCGTACATGAAACGTGGGTTCCTCTCACCACCATTACTACCCAAATCCATCATCACTGAGCTTATACCAGGTAAAACAAAGAATTGGATAAAAGATTTTATAATAAATTTTATTAAACATTATGGAGTGTATAAACTGTACATAGGTTCTTGCTTTATAAAAGCACACTTGAAAAATGTTATATACTGTATATCAAATGTAAATGGCTGCTTAATATAGTAAAGTATTTAAGAGAATGTCTATACTTCACCATGTAGTATAAAATGAGGTGGAATAGTAATGACTATGACACTTGTATTACCAACTGCTGCTTTCACTAGTAACAAGTTAAAACACCAACTCCATTAACACAGTGAAAACATCACTTGGTGACAGGAAAAGATAAATACAACATTAAAACCAAATGTTAAAAATATCGGAACTTTGGGACTATAAGCCATCACATGGAACTATACATAAAAATCTCACTTCTGAAATTAATATTCAATAATGCATACTGAAAGCACCAACAATATAATACATACTGGTCAAAAACTTTCATGAATCTGCAGTATCTGCAGATCTTACTATGGTCATTCAGCAAATATTAATCTTTGTTTTCATGCCATATTAAGTCAAGAAAATTTTTGACCCAAGTTAATATTACCTTATGTTTTAAAAAGATTGTCTTTGACTAGTTTGAATAAAAAACAAATTGTGCAAGAGGAGGGAGGCTCTTTACTTGTGACATTAAAAATTTTTGGAACCAGAGCAAAGGAGGATTGCTGTATGCACATTTTATTTTGCCAAATACAAAATGATCCTAAATTTGGCAAAACATTACACTGTGCAGGGATCCTTTTGCTGGAAATGGGACCCCAGCTCCCAAATGCATTTTTTGTTTTGTGTATAAACCCTAACTTTTCAAAATTTAAGGTACTATATTACTTTTATTGAGCAAAATGCATAATTCAACATGATTATCATGTTCTTAACGCTTCAGTTATATAAAATTTAGAAAAGACATCAGATCTGACTACTTGAGTTAATTCAAGTGTATGAGTTTAAACATCACTTTCTGCCTGCAGTTTGCCAATAACATGCCGGACCCAACCCCGTGACATTCTTGGCTCCTCACTCTCGTCACCCTCAGACTGGGTAGTTACAATGGCACAAGATGGCAGTGGTGACCCCCTCTCACTTCCATAAGGACTTGCTGTTCCAAGTGAGGAAGTATTTGGAGATTCAGAAACAATCGAAGGACTTGGAGATAATCTCGGTGGAACGGAAGATGATCTGGTTACAGGCAGAGAGTTACTAGGAGTGCTAAGAGGTGAGAGAGTAATGGGACTTCTAATAATGGGTGCTGGAGTCAAGATGATGGGTGATTTAAGAGTTCGAGAATTCCTACGGCTCTCGTCTCCCCTTTCAGGTGACCCTGTGGATAATGTTGAAGGATCATTTTCATTTTCAGTTTCAACTCTTACTTGGCAGATTTCTAGGTCCTTTCTTCTGTCATCCAAAGTTCTAAGACCATCAAAGTGGGACTGATCTGCTCATCACGGCTAAATTTTGAACATTCTTCCAGATTCTTAAGTTGTTGCATGATCAAGTTCCCACAAGCTCTACCTTTCTTTGTTTTCACACTGTCAGGTTTAGCAGGAACAGGCGGTGGCACTTTCTTTGGTTGCGGGGAGGATTTGCAGCTGTTATTGGCAGTTTCTGTTGATATGATTGTGTTATTTTCACTACCCTTCGAGCCATTTTTTTCTATTAATTCAGATAATCTATTCACTTTTAGAGATAATGAGAGAGGTGATTTTGTTGAAAAACGAGGTGAAGACCTAACTGAATTTGTAGCTTTGGTGTTTGGACTAGTAGATGATTTATAATATAAACTAGCTGGAGGTAACTCAGTCTCATCTGGATCACTGTAGATGGCGCTGTCTCTGAAAATTTCAGTTTCTAGGTTTTCTATTGCTTCAAAAGATCTTTCATAATAGCTATCTGCTGAAGCGTCACTTTCCAAAGAGGGAGATTCTTGATTCTCCTCATTTTCCTCCTCCACATTAGCCATGTTAGAGGTTTCTACACCATCTATTAACTTGGTATCACGACTGGAGGAGGATGAGGAAGACGTGAGGACAGAAGATGAGGATAGAACAGAATCAGGTCTGAGGTCTGATTTGGGTTTCTGCTCCATGGGTCTAATTCTTGGTACTGCATAATCAGAAGGCTCGTTCGTTCCTGCCAAACGAGCCCCGATGCTGGAACTACCTTGTTTGTAAATAGGGAGGGCATAAATATTTTCTGTAGAAGACTTGCTAGAAGTCTTATCAGCATCTTCAGCTCTTATCTGTTTAATTCGCTCTTTCAGTGTTTTTGAGCATTGTCTTGCCATGTTGTAAACCATTTTGCTGGCTTTTTTATCCACATTTTTATCAAGATCACTGTCCATTGATAAGTTAAAGACAGAACCAGATGGTTCTGATATACTTTTATTTCTTGGGCTAGTGATCTTACTGAATACGTTCTTGATTGTAGACTTATTGTTCGAGGACTTGTATATCTTATGCTCAGGGTGGATGCTGAGAATGTTGTCCATACTCATGTGGGGAGTCATAGAGTAATCTGTCATATTATCCTCGGTATCGTAAGGAAAACGCTCATGAGTATGACCTGGGGTACGAGGCTGGTTTAAGTAATGCTCGAGGGCACTCAGGCTTACTTCATTTGAGTTATAAAATGCTATTGTTACAGGACGTCCTCGATTTTCCCGCGGACTACCATGGCGTTCTTCACGGACCCAAACATTTCCTTTGGAGGAGGTAGCGGGAGCTGTATTTGGTTGAGTTGAGGTTTGGGAAGGAGTTGCATAAATGCTATCAGTAACACTGTCGAGACATTTGTCAATGGAGAACGACTGAGCACGTCTTAATTTTGGTCTCTCCATGTTTGTTGGAGAAGAAGCCGGAGAAAGTCGTGACTGCTGTAATGTATTACTCTGTCTTTTCTCTGGACTACGACCTCTTATAGTACTCCAAATATTCATTAAATTATCATAATTGGAGTTCACTTTCTTAATATTGGGAGTCTTTTTGAAACTAAGATCAGATGACGATCGTCTAACTGGTTTGGACTTCTTTTCACTGCATAATGATTTATTTTCATTTCCTTGAACAGAAACAGCACTACTGTACACTGACTGACACTCACTACTAGAAACATTGGCACTTTCGTTGTTTGTGGCACATTTATTATCAGCATTAACACCATTGAAATAAAAGTCCACATAATCACCTACATCTTCATGCCTTAGAGTGTTACCACCGTCTGAACTTGCATAGGAAGTACTCCCCCTAAATGCACTGTCCTCGTTTTCTGTATCAGATGTTTCATAATGGAACGGTTTCTTTCTTGTTAAGTTGCGACGTTGCTTGCTTAGTAGTAGTTTCTGCAGTTGCAGGTTGTGCTGCAACAACTGACTCACAATTTCTTCAAGATTCTCTCCGTTTTCTGTATCCTCCTCTGCACCTGCTTCATCTTCTCCATCCTCGCGTTCATATTCTGACACGGAAAGACCATCCGTGGACACCTGCAAACAAACAGAATCTGTCACAGTATTTTATTTTTAATGTTCTGGCTGTCTCCCACCAAGGCAGGGTGACCTAAGAAGAAAAACACAAGTTTTTCTTTTTACATGTGGTAATTTATAGAGGAAAAGGGGTTACTACTCCCTTGCTCCCAGCATTTTAGTCGCCTCTTATGACGTGCATGGCTTACAGAGGAAGGTTTCTCCTCCACTTACCCATGGAGAGTGTTACTGTATTACTGCTTCTAAATATTAATATGGTTAACCCCTTTTTTAAATATGATAATGTTTTGATAAATCTAAAAATTAAATTTTGAATAAATTTGTAGACAATCTAATGCTAAAAAAATATTAACCAAAATATAGTACAGTAAAACCTTTATTTGTTTGTCTGGCTACAAATTCTGTCCATTAAAAGTCAATTAAATCAGAATTGTCTGTTATTGCTACAGTCCACTGGGTAAACTGATTTCAAATTTAACAGACTGAATCAGTTAAATTCAGAATTATCCATGTGTTACTACCATGGAGAAACAATCTTCCACGTGTTATTATCATGGAAAAAACTCTCATCATTCAGATTTAAACCAATTGCATTAGAGTATATCCCCCTCTTCCCGATTAATTCATTAAATCATCAGTCATGTCATAACTGGAAACTGATTTATATTATTAAATTACAACGTTAGTAAGTAAAAAAGCCGCTAGTTTACCTCGGGGGTCAAAGGGCTTATTGGAATTGATGACATGAAGTCACTAGTTGGGTCACACGAGCTTGACTGAGGGGTATCTGGGTCATCTATTGGTATTCGACAAATAGTTAATGACTCTCGGCTTCCAATTCCTGGCTCTGACCTCCGTCGACCCCACATGGACAGTTTCAGCTGTAGAGAGCATTAGTACAATACAGTATTATTATAGATGGTAGAATTACCGACAGTATGACAGGTAAAAGGACACAAGTGCAACTAATGTGACATTTTATTGTGGCAACGTTTCTCACTCCAGGAGCTTTATTAAGCCGTAATGACTAGATAAAGCTCCTGGAGAGCGAAATATTGCCACAATGTCACATTAGTTACACTTGTATCCTTTTACCTATCACAGTATTATTATACACTTGTCTATTATCATGAGGCGCTCTATGTTTACAATAAAAATTATCAGTTTTGATTAAAAGTGTGATGGTCTACATATTTTGGCCTAAAAATGAAGTGTCAGAAAATGCCTACAACTACTCTAAAACATTGAAAATTCTAGTAATATAGATTTTTGTGGACTTTTCAAATGATTTTATAGTATACACTGGACCCCCGGTTTACGATATTTTTTCATTCCAGAAGTATGTTCAGGTGCCAGTACTGACTGAATTTGTTCCCATAAGGAATATTGTGAAGTAGATTAGTCCATTTCAGACCCCTAAACATACACGTACAAACGCACTTACATAATTGGTCGCATTGGGAGCTGATAGTTAAGCGGGGGTCCACTGTATTAAAAAGTTGAAAAAATCTTAAAAACCTTTGGCTTTTCTGCAGACGCAGGTGCTGATATTGTCGAGGTCTTTCTCTCTAAATCTTCATCCTCTGTGTCTCGAGTGCGACTTACGCTGCGACTGCGTGCCCCTTTCTGTCAGGCAAAATTGAGAAATAAATGTGATCCATTATAATACACTTTTTTTAATACAATACTAATAATTCCAAAATACTGAGCAGTACTCTTCAGATCCTCCTCACTTAATGAAAGTTCAACTTGTGATATTTTGACTTTATGATAGCACAATGTACTGTAAAAAAATTTTTTTGTATTGTACAGTACATTTATTGATATGATAAACTTGTATTCAGTATTTACTTTTCATTACTGGCATTTAGTTACAGTAATTGTTTGTTTATTTATTTATTCAGTGACAGTTATTTATCATACATGTATTTGTATTCGACTTAGGGTGGGTTCTTCGGAACGTAACCCCAAAGTAAGTCGAGGAGCACCTGTATTCTGTATAAATCTCTGACATACACAGGGTATCACCCACCTCTTCCTTCTCCTTCCTTGCCCGGCTGGGACGCCTGAGGCGTAGCCGTGTGTTAAGTACTCCTTCAGATGATCTACGTCTATCACGATCAACCTTCCTCTTCTCCAGGTACTCGGGAGCATGGTGGGCGCGGCGTCCACTGCTACGACCTTCACTCATGAGCATATCTGCAAGATGTGAATGTAAGAATCAGATTATTTAGTCTTAAAATACAGTTACTATAATTATATTGTACATACGTAATGCAATCTAGCTCCTACATATAAAAATGTAAATCTAGTAATGTACTGCAAACTATTTTAATTATGATCAGTATACTAAGTTACAGTATCATTACTGTTACTAAGAATTACAGTATCAATATTGTTTTTATTATATGCTATAATTTTGTCTGTTTCAGCTGACTGCAGCATCCTGACTCCATTAAAAGTAATATAATACCTTCTGGTTTACTCTGGCCAAGCTCCATGACAAGTTGACGGGCATGTGCAGGTATGTTGGCACTGTAGTTCTCGAGGATTACCCGCTTTAACTGTAGTGTCCATTCCCTCTTTTGCTCCAAGTTACGAGCCTGTAATTAACAAAGATAACACATAATATGAGGCGCTGCATGGACTTATACAAAGTGCAAAACTTGTGGGTCGTACAGTGCTTGGAAAATGGTAGATGATCTGAGGAGAGTGGCTTTGATTCCTTCAGTGAAGGAGGTTAACCAGGAGTCACAACTCAAGTTTGTTTCAAAATCATATACAGTTATTACCTGTGTCATTTAAGGTATCAGTTGGTATAAACCTTGGTAATAAATACCGACAATTTGGTTTAGAAAAAAACATAAGCAAGCACTAGGACATATTTATTAGAAAACGTTTCAGTCCAGAGACCTTGATTACTTATCATTTAAAACCAGTTAGGGATTCAAAACCCACACAACCCGCACATAGAATGAAAGTTTATTACAATGTTTTGGCCCAACTTGAACCATTAATTGGTAAATAATTACTGGTCCAAGTCGGACTAAAATGTCTTCATAAAGTTTCTTTCTCCTATGCACGGATTATTTGTATATTGTTCCAGTCAAGGTACAGTGGACCCCCGGTTAACGATATTTTTTTCACTCCAGAAGTATGTTCAGGTGCCAGTACTGACCGAATTTGTTCATAAGGAATATTGTGAAGCAGGATAGGGCCATTTCAGACCCCAAAACACGTACAAATGCACTTCATAATACACTTACATATTGGTCGCATTCGAGGTAATCGTTATGCGGGGGTCCACTGTATGTGTCCTTGTATAACCAATGCTTGTAGTAGACCTTAAATTTTTTAAGGGTGGATGTAAGCCAGAGAAGCCCCGGTCAGATGACCAAAAGCTCAATGGAAGATCATCATCTAAGACAGCATCAGAAACTTGTCTGTTCTACGAACCTAACCTGTGCCATTTATGTTCTTAGGGATTCAGAAGTTGAAACTTCGATAAACTTCTAATCTGTTTTTACTGTTATAAGATGTTTAGTTCATGGCTCGCATCAGTAACTGGGAGAGCTACAACCCACCCCAGAGTTATAGCTCCCGTCACTGACCTTTGGTTTATAGGACGCTGGGTAGGTTTTGGAGACATTTTATGGAAAAAAAATGCGTCTCATAAGCCGCGAAATATGGTATACTGAAAAAGATGTTCTGAAGTGATCAGGCTTAGCTTAAGAATAGTATACTGAAATATAGTTAGGCATTCTGAAGCAGTGAAACTTACCTCAAGAGTATACTGGAGTCTTGGATTATCGAAAGGGATGATGTGGAAACTGAGAGGTTCACCAGGAACAGATTCAATTAACATCAAATTGGAACACTGTAAACAAAATAAAAAGCTTTTGTCAAAATAATTACAAAATTTATGTGGGACTGAGCAAGGATTTTATATCTGAAAAATTGCAATCTTTGCAGATGTGAAAAAATTTAACAAGGTTTGGAAGTCTTTATCTAGATTTTAGGAAAAATATCAAATGGGGAAGTGGAACAGACTTCTTCCTCCGTAAGCCAAGCGTGTCGTAAGAGGCGACTAAAATGCCGGGAGCAAGGGGCTAGTAACCCCTTCTCCTGTATATATTACTAAATGTAAAAGGAGAAACTTTTGTTTTTCCTTTTGGGCCACCCCGCCTCGGTGGGATACGGCCAGTGTGTTGAAAGAAAGATCAAATATAGATATTTAAGTTGAAGTTCCCTTTAAGACGGAACTTGGTAAGTTCCTAAACTTAGTTTGACGAATAGCCAGGCTGTGGTGATTGCATGCAGCCAGCCCAGTAACCTGATTGATATAGCCATGAACCTGACCTGGTATAGGACCAGGCTGCGGAGCACTGACCTCCAGAATCATCTATGGATAAAGCTTAGGGTAGTTAAGGGGAATTACCAATGACACCCATAACTGTCTTCAATGGGGAACTTTATGAATTTCTATAACTGGCTCCTGATCAGCTTGGCTGTGGGTGCCTACAGTAGACCATGTGCTACTAGCACTAACATTTTATCATTTCATTCATGGTAAGAGAGCTAAACCCATATGGGTCATACTGTGCCTGGTAGGCAAATGGGTTCAAAGGAAATGGAAGATAGATTCAATTCCTTTGATTAAGAGCCCCTCTCACTGGCATCAAGGCCACCTCTCTTGAGAGGGATAGGAGCATCAGCCTTATTGATCAGACTGTCATCTAGGGAGGTGACTGTGGGATGGCACTACAGGGGAAGTGACCCCCCCCCAACCCCCAGAGTCAACAACCATCTTAGGGATTTCATTGATTTTCTTAGAAGCTAAAGGAAGTGGAAAGCTTGAGATATTTGTGATTATTATTATATGTACAATAGAACACTAAACCCACATGAGTCATTTAGTGTTGATTTTTTAATAATCTTGATAAATCTTATCATGTCACATCATGGGTGACACCATTAGGTGTCCTCTGACACCTTATGGTGACAGCCACCCATTCATTTCCTTGCCTTAACCTGACTGACCAAGCAAGTCCTCTTTATATATTTTTATAAGATTAAGATTGGAGTTCATCAGTAAGATCCCCTCAAGGGAGGTTCCTTGATGCTGGTGAGGGGCTCTTGATCTAGGGAACTGGATCTGTGCTCCAGGTTCCCTGAATGCCTCCCCCCCCACACACACATGTGCTGTATAATTCTATAGGTTTAGCTCTCCCCCATGATTATAATCATCATCAGTAAGATTTATGAGGTGAAAGTGTTGAATGATGATGAAAGTATTTTCTTTTTGGGGATTTTTTCTTTTTTGGGTCACCTCTGCCTAGGTGGGAGACTGCCGACTTGTTGAAAAAAAAAAAATTAGTTATGTAGGTGTTGTTTTCAAGCGATCTTTCATAAGCTGTCAATGATCCACGAGGGTTTAGCACTTCTCATAGCCAGTCGTTGTTCATATGCAAGATGCATTTGCCAAGCAAATTAAGAGTAAATAAACAGAGCAATGTGTATCTTTGAAAAAATAAACAACAGAATTTTCATGAGAAAAAAGGTTAAGTTATGGTCACATCAGCTATCCAATTACTGGCCAGACCCAGTGGTACTTAACCAGAGTGAATGACAAGCATGTTATGACTGTACAGTCACAGGAATGTGACACAGCCACATTATACATTTCATGGCATTAGCATTAAGATAATGCAGATTTAAATGTATGAATTTGACCTCAGGAAGGTTCTGGTGTGTAATTTATACAAACCAGAAGTGAATCTCTGTAAACATGATGCTAGTGAAGGACTCGTCATCCAAGAATTAGTCCCCCTTCCTTGGATCAAACCTGATTGCCCATTTGACATATGTAAGACCTCTTATGGGTTTAGCACTTTTCTATGAATATGATAATGTGAATGTAGGCATCTACCCGAGAAGGGCAGTAATAACCCACTGGATCAGGCTTGTGCTAAGAAGAAACAACCATGTTGCAAACCTTAGCCATACTGACTGCGCTTGTTTTTGCGTGTGTCATGCTTTGAATTTCCGTATTCCATCCCCTTTTCCTGGAAAAAAATCAATAACTGAAATTTCTTCTTAAAACTCATTGCAGTTTTAAAAAGCCTTCTGGAAAGTAGATGTGATTTGGTATTTTAGTTGAGATACAGTAGCTGTTGTAATTGTGGAAAACTGCTGAATGAGTGTACACGTACTGTATATGCGCATTATTACCGCACACACTGTTGGGAGGCAATGAGTGAAATCATTGTGAGGTGATGTGAATGAAATCATCAGTGAGAAATCATGGGTTGGGTGGTGAAGCTATGTAGTAGGTAAACTGGTTTCTTACGTTAATAAACTATCTGACTTTATCAGCACATTTGTCCAGTTTCTGTATAATGGTCAAAACTGTCCCTGTATAATAGTTTGGCGAGGCTAGATGTTCCTTGGTTGTTTTCTTTAGTACTCTGTACTTTAATTACAGCTACTTTTAGCCATCTGGTACCGTCCCTTTCACTGTTGAGTTTGGCATCTTATTGTGTCATAAGGTTTGAATTTTTATTCTGCTGAACATGTTCATTGGTGTGCATTTGATAAGCATGTGTGTCATTAAATTTTGATGCTTAGATTATGTAAATTCTTACCCAGTGTTCTATTCTAGTGAAATATTTCACCACAAGAGGACACATTTCCTATAGTGGTTTTGATACACAGTATGTAGAGAGACCTGTAGGACATGGTAGAAATTTAAAGACCTTAGAGCATGGCAGATACCAGACTCATCATAGAAAAGGATAGAATTACACAAAACACCATTGAACAGAACCAAGGCACTTTAGTTTAGCCAGACCACTTGTCTACATTACTGGGACACTTTGTGGTGCACCTACCTGACCCACAAGTCAAATATCTTTGATTACACTTGCCTCAGTAGGAATATCACCTGCTTCTTGGTATTATTTATAAAGCTCTACATAGCAACATTGTCATGACCTGCATTTGTTCTTAGGTTAGCTCCAGTTCCTTATAATAAATCCTTATCACTAGCACGAGATGTAATACTGTATAGAGACTAATGATGTACGGGAGATGGATCAGTAAGTTTGTCAAACATTGAATAATTTTAAGTAAATTTATTAGAAGATGAAAGCATACCATTATATGGGTTTTGTACATTAGAATGTTTTCTTCCTTCTTTTTGGCAATGAGGATCATTTTCTCAAAGAGAAATATGTGTCTGAGTCCCTTAGCTCCACACATCCTGAAGGTGCCTTCTGCTGCTAGCTCCCCAAATGTAGTCAAGTCTTCAAACTGTTGAGAGAAAGAGAAATTTACTTGGTATAAACCTTGGTAATAAATATCGACAAGTTGGTTTAGAAAAACATGTAAGCAAACACTATAACATATTTATTAGAAAATGAGAAGTGATCAAGGTCCCAGGACCGAAACGTTTTCTAATAAATATGTTATAGTGTTTGCTTATGTGTCTTTCTAAACCAGAAATTTACTTAAACATAAGAAACTTTGTTTTCTTGCACAATTGCGCAACTGAATATAACATCAAATGACTTTTAAAGGGAAAAGAATACCTTGATGTTAAAGGACTCATGATTCAAGGAGCTGAGGTACCGTCCCATTTCTCAAATATTACTTTATTACTAACTCTATGGATTTAGTACTTAGTTGTGATTGTAATAATATGGATTTAGTGCTCACTTTCCCACAAGATTTAATTGTTTTCATTGGGAAATGTTAAATCCATGAGATTCATACAGCATTTGGAATTTAATCACATTTGATTCAAGTATGTTGTGGGGTATCTCTCATTCTCCCAATCGAGGGGCCTCTCACCAGTATCTATGCACTCTCCCTTGAAGAAAAAAATCTAATATATTAATAAATGCCAATAACATTTCTTCTGGTTAACTAAACTTACTTGCCACCCATAGAGGAGGGATTGTATTTCTTGCACTCTAACTGCATGTTCATGTCGTCTCTTCATGTCATTTATGTGATGAGCCATTCCTGTCATAGCTGAGAGTGCATTCCATATTTCAGAGTATCCACTCCAGTCCTTCTCGAAATGCTTGACAATGTTACCGAGAAGTAAGTGATACTTGAGAATGCGCTGTACTGGCTTGAGGAGATAGGAACCTAAAGGTAGTGTGTGGCTGAGTGCCAGCTGCCGCTCACGGAAGGCTCTCACCGAAGCTTCCCCTCGCATCAACTCGGTGAGTACACATACTGTTCTGCAAGATATTTCACCTGTTACCTAAAATTATCCAAACTCCCAAAGTTAGGCCTTTCCTTGGGTCAGACATGATTACCTCCCATTTCTCAGGTGCTCAATGAACTAAAAGTTTATTGCTTCTCCATTAATAAGTCATACTATTATAGTCATGTAAGCAATGATCAGGTTTGATCCAAGGAAAAACTGCTACAATTGAAGTAATGTAATAGCTTAAACCTGCATAATATTTCTTTGAGATGGCGATGACCAGGTGAGACAAGTATTACATTAAATAAAGAGGAACTAGTAGTAACCTATTTCAGACATTTACAAATAAGCCGCACTTACTGGAGAACACTTTCATAGTGTTGTAACTTGAAAATGATTGAGGACAGACCAACGTCTGAAATATCCTCTTAAGTTAGAATTATTTGTCAATTGCTCTAACCAGTAGTATTGTTACTTTCAAGCATGATAAATTTACAATGACAGTTACCTGGGATAATTGGTACAATACTGAGTGTAGATGGCAAAGCCATTATTGTTGCGGACAAAGCAGCGGGCAACTGCAACCGGGTCCACACCACATACCTCCAGCTCTGACAGAAAACCCCTGAAAGTGATATAGAATTCAATGTTAAAATTTAAGAATTTTTTTTTACCCTTTCACTATATAAGGGTTGGCTGTGAAAGAACAAAAATGTGGGCTAACTATCTTGTAGAAGAAATTAATAACCTGAAAGCTAATATTTCCATAAAACATTTAGTAAAGTCTGTAAGTACTAAGTGTGTTTTAGGGGTAGCATACAAAGTGCTGTAATCAATACATTTTTCACTAAATATTAGGCATTTCTGCTGAAGTTAGTACAGTGGACCCCCGCATAACGATCACCTCCGAATGCGACCAATTATGTAAGTGTATTTATGTAAGTGCGTTTGTACGTGTATGTTTGGGGGTCTGAAATGGACTAATCTACTTCACAATATTCCTTATGGGAACAAATTCGGTCAGTACTGGCACCTGAGCATACTTCTGGAGTGAAAAAATATCGTTAACCGGGGGTCCACTGTGTTGTCATTTCAGTACAGTGGACCCCCGGTTTACGATATTATTTCATTCCAGAAGTATGTTCAGGTGCCAGTACTGACCGAATTTGTTCCCATAAGGAATATTGTGAATTAGATTAGTCCAATTCAGACCCAACATAATGGTACAAACGCACTTACATAATTGGTCGCATTAGGAGCTAATCGTATAGTGGGGGGGGGGGGGTTCCACTGTATTTGAAAAAAATTATTTGCTTGGTAAATAATACAGATGAAGTCCATAACTTTTCAAAATTTTCAGGAGCTTTTCATGTAAAAAGGGAAAATCTTAAATTTAAAATGTCATGCATCCTACTGCATTATTATATATCAAGGGAAGCGCTAAACCCGAGATTATACAGCGCCTGGGGGGGATGTGGAAGGCATCAGGCTTAAATTTGGGGAACTGGAGCACAGATCCAATTCCCTAAATCAAGAGCCCCTCACCAACATCAAGGAACCTTCCTTGAGGGGCATCCTACTGCAAATCTTTGCAATTTTGTTTTAAAAGGTAAAACTAACCTATTGAAAGCATAAATCTGCTCGATGTTAGAAAAGAGATCATCAACATGGTGTTGGGAGATGCCAGGCTCAGGATGGCGCCTCCAGTACTCTAAATAACCCTGCAAAGATAATTAGTATAAGATACGATCCATACACTGAAAACTACAGTATTTAATCACTAGATTAATCAGATTATTTCTTGGGTAGCATTAAAATTGGGTTGGGCAAATGTTTTGTTAGTGGGATGGATTGTAAAGGACCTGCCTAGTATGGGCCAACAGGCCTGCTGCAGTGATCCTCCTTTCTTATGTACTGTATTTTCTGGCATATAAAACGTGTGTTTCTAAGCATTTATACCCCTCATGGGAGGTTCCTTGACACTGGTGAGGGGCTCTTGATCTAGGCAATTGGAGCTTTGCTCCAGTTCCCTGAATACCTTCCACCCCCCCCCCCCCCCACAGGTGCTGTATAATCCTACGGGTTTAGTGCTTTCCCGTGATTATAATAATGAACATTTGTAATATAACATTAGTAAACAATTGCTAAAGCATAATGAAAGGTCTACTCTTGACCCTGACCTCGAGTATACAAGGCAAAGAGTGATTTTCCAAGACTTTTTTGTGGTAAAAAAAATTGCACCTTATATGCCAGAAAATACAATAGTTTAATATAAAGACGCATTTATTTTACGCTGTAAGTTTCAGTAGAGGTTACAACCCATCTTACATAAAGTTAATCATATATTAATAGTTTACCTTTAAATAAATCAGGTATAGGAAACCTACAGTCTATAATTATGGTATAATCAACAGTATGATTTAACATTTGTTTTTTAAAGAAATTTATAATTTTTGAGCTGTATAGCCCTTGTGGCTTAGTGCTTCTTTTTTGATTATAATAATAATATAATTTTTGATCTAATGTGACTTTTTTATTGGCAGTGAACCACAGGCACGAGCAAGAGTAATGGATACAACAAGGTTAGTACTGGCCAGTGTTTGGGTAGACAGATGAAAGAGAATGGCTCCTCCCACTGCAATATTCATTTCTGTTGAGCACAATACAAACATCAAGAAAGTGTGGCTTTGTGCACTTGACACGAGTGATAAGAAGCTTATAAGTTTCGAGGTGATTCACTTATTCACCAGTTGATCAAGACATTGATCATCTTCATAGTGTGATTAACGTTGATACAGAGTTACCTGTAATTGCCACGATTTTGACAGCCTTGTCGCACTTTGTTCATTATAACGGTTTTAGGTTCAAGGATGAGTATAAATAATTGTCTGGGCTAGTTATAGGCTCATCTCTCAGTGTAGTACTTGCCAATTTATATATGGAGGACCTAGAATCCAGATAGATCCTCAATAACTTCCCCAAGTCAGTTACATGCATGTGGTACGTTGATATTTTGATCATTATATCCAAGAATCTAGATGGAGGTGCTGCTTCAGAAAATTTTTAGCCAGTTTTAATATTGTGTAAAACAAGTATATGTATATAAAAAGAAAATTTATAAATAAAAAAAATATTTTTTACTTGCCTAAATTGTTATAGTTGAAGTTTGATCCATTAATATAAAAATGAAATCTGTTCTACTTTAAATGAATAGATTAATAATTCTCTTCATGACTGTTGAGGAGATTTTTCTCCATTGAAAGCAATACAAGTGTAATCTTTTAGGATTCATAGCGATCCTTAGAAAAGTTCTGGCTCTGATATAGTCGTGGGAATTGTCAAGAGGACTTTCATCAGTTTTCTATTTTTACCAAGAACATCTATATTGTTTTCCAAGATAAATTTCAGTAGTAATATTCATGCATAATAGAATTATAATAAAAATTTTTAATTAAGTTTCAAGCTTCTCTTTATCAATGATGGGATATACTTCAGTGGTCAGTACTCTTATGTAGCAGTTCAAACTAGTGAAGCTGTTCTTGTTGAACAATTTAACAGGTACTAAGTGTTTAGTGGAAGAATATCTGTCTATTATATCAACACTGGTCACAGACCGGGCCGCGGGGGCGTTGACCCCCTGAACTCTCTCCAGGTAAACTTCTATGGCAACTGGATGTGTGATGCAGCTCTCTCACTACCAGTAATACCTATACATGTACTATGGTACTCCATCAAACTTAATTTTAATCTCATTTCAACAAAAATAAAAATTAATTCGCTTATACATTATACAGATTTTTCCTATATCTGTCAGTTGCAAATTATTTTAGCATAAGGTTGAAGTCATACGTCTGGCAGTACTGCTGCCACTGTGTAAATGACATCAAGGCTGGAACCTACTATTAAATTTATACGAGAGAAGGGCTATCATTTCTTGATATTCTGTTTCCTGGTGAAAATAAAGTATGGTAAACCTACCTACATGAACAATCTTCTCTCACCAGAACTAAAAGATAAATAGTTGAAGGATTAATGCACATACATCACCCATTCTTTTAGTTCATTACAGGAAACGTAAAGAACAAATAAAGTTGAAGCCTCTAAGTTATATTGTTTCAAAAATTTTGACAGAAAACTAATTAAAATATCAACCAGCTCATCAATTATATTAGAAACCTAGTATAAAAAGCCAAGAATACCTCTGGCATGAGTATACACTATACCATGTGGGGGAAACAGCCAGATCTCTGGACATTAGGATCAGAGAACACAAAAACATTTGCAGTAATAACCATAAAAATACATGGATGATGTTAGACACCTCTTGAGGGTAGACGGTGAAAGTTCATAGAAGCCGCCCTAATTGCAGTCAATAACAATATCCATCAGAAGTCTATTAGTTAAACTATCTCCAAATTGCTACCCAACAGTATATTACCTATTCTGGAGACCATTATAACACTGTTAACAGGTCCTTCTCTAATCCAACCAGTGCCACTATATATACTCATTTTCTCTATCAGGACTGGAGAAGTTTCCTTGAACTGTATATAGATGTCTTTTTCCCACATCTTGTCGGTATCACCAAACCATTTCTCATTAAGCTTGACCAGAAAGTGGCAAAAGAAAAAAATTTAGTCCACCTGAGTTTAACACATTAAGGTGTCGTGGACAGATAAGATCCTGGGTGCCAGGAGACCCACCTCTTCCTGTATGACCCTTGTGGGTGTAGTGCTTAGTTCTGATTGTAATAAAGAATAATCACAATACACAGTCTTGTGAGGTTTCACTCCGACTTGCACTATGTACAAGTCTGAGCGAAACGTTGTCATGAAAGTTTCTCCTACGTGCGGGTTATTTGTATATTGACCGTAGTAATAAGACCCTCACTCAAGTCCTACATCTCATCCCTGACACTACATAGTTTCTAGGATCCCTTCCCTCCATGTTGCTACGAGAGACAGTAGGTATACCTCTGATATGATAAATGGTTGAAAACCGACAAGATTGATGGACTGAACACATAGACTCCAGGCTGAGGGACTGATTACCTCAAACTCCTCCTCTCACACCTTTCTCATTTGTATTGGACTGATGAAGCCACTGTGTGACAAAACATTTCTTCAATTTTGATCCCCATAAGTGTCTCAGTCTTTATACCAAGGACCCCAATGGAAATAAGTCACTTTGTTTTAGGTTATTTTATGTATGATTGTACTTGTGTGTATCTGTGCCTAAATAAACTTATTGATGTGTTCAGAGTCCTTTTTTTACTCGTGGAGCCCAGCCTATCATAGACCAGGTGGCAGCAACATAAGTTGTGCAAGAATGGTGTATAATACTGACAGGATGAAATTAAGACACATGTGCAACATCTTTATTGTAGACGTTTCGCCATCCAGTGGCTTTATCAATACAAATTCCAGGACATGAAGACAGAAGATGAGGTAATCAGTCCCTCAACCTTGGAGTAGGTGCGAAGAGCACCTTAGTCGTGGAGATTCTGATGCAGAAGCAGGTTAGGTTCGTCAGGAAACAGGACAAATGTTTCCTGACGCAGGTCTTAGTCAGATGATGACCCGCCTTTGGAGCTTTTGGTCATCTGACCGAGGCCTTCCGCTGGCTTACCGGTCCACCCCTTTAAAAATTATGGTCATTTATAACCATTGTCTGTCTATATAATGCAGAAGCAAGGAGCCTTGCGCTTATATAGTAACGTCAGGTGTAGCAGAGGAGGGCATAGTCACTGGTAGGCGGGATTCCCCAGTGGAAGTAGGTCCTTCCCAAAGAGATAGGTTAGTAGTCGTGAAGTTATGTCCTGGAATCTGTATTGATAAAGCCACTGGATGGCAAAACGTCTACAATAAAGATACCCAGATGTTGCACATGTGTCTTAATTTCACCTTGTCGGTATTATATACCATTCTTACACAACTTGTCAGACACTGCAACATCATGGAATCTTGATTCTGAGGACATGTACATAACCTTCACGACAACTACCACTAACCCATCTCTTTGGGAAGGACCAACTTCCACTGGGGAATCCCGCCTTCGGCTGCTACACCTGACGTTACTATATAAGCGCCAGGCGCCTTGCTTCTGCATCAGAATCTCCACGACTACGGTGCTCTTCGCACCTACTCCAAGGTTGAGGGACTGATTACCTCATCTTCTGTCTTAAAGTTATGTCCTGGAATTTGTATTGATAAAGCCACTGGATGGCGAAACGTCTACAATATTTTCATCTTGTCGGTATTGTATACCGTTCATGTACATCACTACTGTATTCCCAGCATCCCTCCCTGAAGTGTTGGGGGTCAACGCCTCCCAGTGGATAACCTGATTAATTATACTGTTGATGCAAGCAGCACAGCCTGGTTGACATCAGAAACATCACTACTTCTCATTCCCAGTGGCGAGACTAGGTATTAGGCAACAGTAACATCACTATCATTCCCGTAACCCTCCCTGTCATGGTGGTAAGAGACACTAGTCAGCAGCAACATCAATAGTCGTTCCCTGCAATAAAGGAGCCAGAGAGACTGTAGGTAGCAGCAACATCAGTCAGGTGGAACTAACATGGTTGGCGCCAGACATTCAGTCTCACTAACCCTTACCCTCGGAGGAATGTTCCTCCAGCCACATTCCTCTCTTCTTTCACCAACCCTCATTGCAAGTGCCATTTCAACATGAATGATCCTGCCTCTTTCTAAACCATTTAAAGACTTTACGAAAAATCTAAGTTTGCCAATAAGTACAGCATTCCTTACAAGTTCTCATTAATAAAGGCACCAACCACGAGGCCTCGTCTTGGAGCCACCGCCCACCCCCGGAATTCACATATAACCACATGTTAGATCAACCAGGCTGTGATGGATATGTGGGTCGGTTAGCAGCAATAGCCTGGATGACCAGGCAAAGCATCAGACGAGAGTAGAAAAACTCTCGGAACTCATCAAAGGTAAAGTTGTTGGCGTTAACAGTACATGTCCACAGTCTTCCACCTACACATCACTGTTAATAAACCGTTCACTATTTATCAACTCATTTGCAGTATGTTCTTACAAGTTGGAGAATAAGACACTTGTGCAAGACTGAGGGACTGATTACCTCATCCTCGTATACCACCGTTCTTCTCTGTATTGGACTGATGACGCCACTGGCTGGCAAAACGTTTCCTCAATAAAGATTCCCCAGTGTTGCACAAGTGTCTCATTCTTTATCTTGTGGTTTCTCTAAATTAACATCACGCTCTTACAAGTGTAACTCTCGGGGAATTACACTGGTCGTCTCTCTGGCCTCAAACCTCAATGACTGAGTAACTCTCGGGGAATTACATTGGTCGTCTCTCTGGCCTCAAACCTCAATGACTGAGTAACTCTCGGGGAATTACACTGGTCATCTCTCTGGCCTCAAACCTCAATGACTGAGTAACTCTCGGGGAATTACATTGGTCGTCTCTCTGGCCTCAAACCTCAATGACTGAGTAACTCTCGGGGAATTACACTGGTCGTCTCTCTGGCCTCAAACCTCAATGACTGAGTAACTCTCGGGGAATTACATTGGTCGTCTCTCTGGCCTCAAACCTCAATGACTGAGTAACTCTCGGGGAATTACACTGGTCATCTCTCTGGCCTCAAACCTCAATGACTGAGTAACTCTCGGGGAATTACATTGGTCGTCTCTCTGGCCTCAAACCTCAATGACTGAGTAACTCTCGGGGAATTACACTGGTCGTCTCTCTGGTCTCAAACCTCAATGACTGAGTAACTCTCGGGGAATTACACTGGTCGTCTCTCTGGTCTCAAACCTCAATGACTGAGTAACTCTCGGGGAATTACACTGGTCGTCTCTCTGGCCTCAAACCTCAATGACTGAGTAACTCTCGGGGAATTACACTGGTCGTCTCTCTGGTCTCAAACCTCAATGACTGAGTAACTCTCGGGGAATTACACTGGTCGTCCTCTCTGGTCTCAAACCTCAATGACTGAGTAACTCTCGGGGAATTACACTGGTCGTCTCTCTGGTCTCAAACCTCAATGACTGAGTAACTCTCGGGGAATTACACTGGTCGTCTCTCTGGTCTCAAACCTCAATGACT